AGTTAGACTAGAAAGACTGAGGTCCCTTCAATCTCTTGAGCTATGCTTACACCTGTGTACCAGGCAAGCACATTGAATATGCTTTCTCTTTTTAAGGAGAATATAATTTAAACTCCTAAAGACAAAAACTTGCTTGAAGCTCTTAAAATTCTTAGCATGTTACATGTGTATTATTGCAAGATATTAAGGAAGCACAGAATATCAGATGGGGCAGTTAGGTGGCACGGTGGATAGAGCACCGGGCCCAGAGTAAGGAAGCCTAAGTTCAAATCCAGTTTCAGACACTTGCTAGCTGTGTGGCCCCAGGCAAGTCCCTGTTTGCCTCAGTTTCCTCATCTGTAAAATGAGCTAGAGAAGAAAGTGGGAAACCACACGGGTATCTTTGCCAACAAAACCCCATATGAGGTAAGGGAGTGAGATTAAGAGTCATTGGATGTTAAGGAAGGAGGGATATTGGAGAGTCCTCTACACAATTACATGCCACCATCTCCATATTATATTCTGTGCTAACCTATCTCCCTGAAGAGTTTTTGCCCCATGTGAAAAATTCCTACTTATATCTGTGCGTACAACAACTCTCTTAGGTAGACACAACTGAAATGACTGAACAATAACAAAATAAAGTCAGAAGTGGGATGGACCTTAGGGAACACAAAGTCCTTTCTTCATTTTATAAACATGAAAACTGAGACCCCAAAAGAAGTGATTTGACCAAGGTCACATTAACTGACTAATGAGAGGGGCAAGACTAGACCTTGGACATAGTGACCCCAAGTTCCATACTCTGCCTACTGTACCACTTGGCTTTTCCCCACCCTAAGGCAGAACCTCAAAGTCTAAAGAGATAAGCCATCTCACAGCTTATAACAAGAGAATGTTTAATTCTCCAAGGCATCATCAAGATGGATAACAATAATCCCTCATATTTTCATATAACATTACAGTTATTTACAAAGCATTTTAAATTCATGAGCCCATTTAAGCCTGGTGACCAGAAGATTAACTAGGGCAGGGCAGTTGGAGCTTTGACTGGGTGAAATGTCATGCTTCTTTCTCACAGTGGTACAGAGATTGTGGCTTTCATGCCTCATGGCTTCTGGAGGCTAGAAGAAAGGAGATAGAGAATAAACAAGGGCTGGCAAAAGTTGAGGGAAACAGAGATAAGACGGACCAGTGCTTCACCTAGCAGAGCCTATGTCCCTTTGGAACTAGGGGAGGTGGAAGATAGGGCTGATAGGTGAAGACGGGCCTGGGAAAGGGTGAGGAAGTAGGGTTATGGGCCAGCAAGGTTGGAGGAAGAAGGGGAAGGAACAGGCTACCTCCTCTCCTTGCTTTAATTGAATAATTTGATATCTCAACATGGCTTGTAGGGTGGACAAGGCAGCCCCAAGAGGGGGTTAGGGAGTGAGATTAAGAGTTATTGGATGTTAAGGGAGGAGGGATGTTGGATAATCCTCTACACAGTTACACACCACCACATTGTCTTCTGTGACAACCTATCTCCCTGAAGAGTTTTCGCCCCATGTGAAAAATTCCTATTTAAGTCTATGCTTACAACACCTCTGTGAGATAGGCTATGTATGCATCATTTCATTCATTCTGTAGATGACCAGGATTTAATCCAGATTCAGACCTAGGTCTTCCTGCTCAAATCTAATACTCTTTCTGACATACCATCTTTCTCATGCTTACTGCACTTCTAGTCTTTACCAGGTGTCCTAGTCCTTAGGAATTCTCTAATTAGGCAGAACAACTATCCCTAATTTTCCAATGCACTCTATAGATGCCAAAAATGACTAGAACTGGCACTACAGAGATTATTGACGCTATTTTGATAATTCTCTACTTCATTTATGAATAACTTCTATTTTCAATGTCAATTCAGTAAGCATTTAGAAAGCAACTACTACATGCCAGATATTGTACTAGGCAACAGAGATATAAAGAGAAAAATAAAATGATCCCTGCTCTCAAAGAGCTTACATTCTATGGAGTGAAACAACATGTAGCCAGATAAGTAAATACAAAAGCCACACCAAGTAAATAAAAAGTAGGTGTGGGCAACAATGTAAAAACTGGGGGAGCCAGAAAAGGCCTTGTAGAGGTGGTGGCATGTCAGCTGAGTGAGCCTTGAAGAGAAAGAGAGAAAAGCTAGGAGAGGAAGCACAGCAGCAAAGGGAAGGGCTTTCACTTTTATCTCTTGGCATGAGTGACTCCATCTTTAAATAAGATTCCATTATGGCATAAAATGAAGTCATGTCCACTCCCCTGTGGTTGAGTTTCACATCCACTGCTATCTGCTTGCAGAATGTTTTATACTATGTTTTTATCATTACCAGTGTCCTTATCATTGCAACGAACAAGTCTCTAAGAAGTCCAAAAATCATATCTGAGAATTCTGTATTCTGTCTTTATCTCTCTTGTATGGAATACTGTCACCATGTACTTAGTCACAATTTGAGATCCAGTATCTATCTTCTCTCCCTCCCTCCCTCCCCCCGCCTCTCTCTCCCTTCCTCCCTCCCTCCACCCATTTATGTGTTGCTCTCTCTCTCTCTGAACATACAAATATGGGTTAGAAACAGCTTATAATCAGAGTTCACTTGATTTATAGTGGAAACTTAGTGAGTGAAACAGCGCTTGCTATAGTTTATAATAATAATCCAAATAAAGTTTCTCTATGACTGTACCCTAAAAATTCTGAGCTGTTTTTTTTTCACCCCAAGACAATGAACATTCCAGGCATGGAAGCACCCATGCAAAGCATTTACTGAGCACTAGGAGGCAGAAGATGGAATGCTATGTACAGTAACTTCAAGTAGATTAGTTTAGCTGGAAAAAAAAACATGCACAAGGGAGACTAATGTAAAATCAGACTGGAAAGACAGGCTGGTGCCAGATTGTGAAGGACTTTAAACAACAAACAGCAAAGTCCTAAAGGTAACAGAGAATTACTGAAGCTTCCTGAACAGGGCAGTGGCGTGGTCAGACTTGTGATCAAGGAACATAAATTTGGGAGTTATGTGAGAGATGGATTAGAAGGGGGAAGAGACTGGATTCAAGGAGACCAATTAATTAGGTTGCTACTGCAATAATCCAAGTAAAAGGTATTAAGAGCCTGAACTAGGGTGACTGCGATTATGAACACAGAAAAGAGGGTTGAAAGTGAGAGATGTTGATACAGAACCAACAAGATTTTGCTGTTGGTTGGATGGGAAGAGAATATAATAATAGTAGTAGTAGTAGTAGTAGTAGTAGTAGTAGTAGTAGTAGTAGTAGTAGTAGTAGTAGTAGTAGAGTAATGAAAACTAGCATTTATAGAGAGCTTTAAGGTTTGCAAAACACTTTACAAATATCTCATTTGATCCTCACAAAAATCCTAGGAGGTAGATGCTATTATCATCTCTGTTTTACAGATGAAGAAACTGAGGCAAGAGATGAGATTAAATGGTTTGCCTAGGATAACACAGCTATAAAATGTCTGACGCAGTATTTGAATTCAGATCTTCCTGATTACCAAGTCCAGTGCTTCATCCCTTGTTTTGCCTAGCTGCCTCCAGAGAAGTGAAGGAGGACACCCAGATTGGGAACCTGGGTGACTACAAAAATGATGGTGTCTTTGAAAGGAATAGGCAAATTAGTAATAGGTTTAGGTTGTGAGTAAGAAAATGAGTTCTGTTGTAGACTTTTTGAGTTTGAGATACCTATGGCACATTCTGGTGGATATGTCTAGAAGACCATCGGAGATGAATGCCTTGGTGCTCTGGAGAGAGATTAGCGCTGCAATATATAAATTTAGGAGGCTTTGCATAGAGTAGAACCCATTGGGAATGAAGTTCCCAAGTGAGTAGGTGTAACAAGAGAATGAGGGCCCAGAACAGAGACCTGGTTACCCCTACACCAAAGGGGTGGGGATATGGGTGATGATCAAACATAGTATATATTTAAAAGGATCAGGCAGACCATTCTAGGGTAGGAAGAGAACCAAGAGAGAGCAATGCCATGAAAACCCAGGAAGGAGAAAGAATCCACGGAGAGGCAAGATTCCGGTGTCAAAAGCCACAGAGGTCAAGGATTAGGAATGGGAAAAGGCCATTGAATGTAACAATTAAGAGATTGTTGGTGATCTAGAGAATTACCACCAGTTTAGTTGTGGGATTGTAAGCCAGATATCAAAAGGCTGAGAAGTGAGCAGGATGTGAATATGTGGAAAAGGGAACTGAAATGATATTTTTTTTTAGGAATTTGGCTGCAAAAATGAGGAGAGATATGGAATAACAGCTTGAAGGGCTGGGGAGTCAAGTTTGAGCCAAGACAAGGGGGGGAAAGGCTCTTTTCCCCTCCCCATATCCAGAGTGCTCAATACTATATCAACCAATATAAAGGGGCTATAAATAATAAGATTTAGGATTTAGGGTCAGAGGACCAACACTAATTCTGCTACTTAATTTATATTGGGCAACTTACAACCTCTCCATGAGCCTTAATTTCCTCAAATGAAAATTAGGGGACTGGTTTTAAATGATCTCTATGGTCTCTTCTAGCTCTAAATCCTATGCTACTTCCATCACTTACACAATTTAAAATAATGCATTTCTAACACACATAACTGATGATTGATAAAATACACTGTCAATTATTTGAAGATGGCTTCCCAGGTTGTGGCTAAACTCATCTTTTAATAGATACCTCTTTGTCTTAATGCAAACTCAAAATTCAGCACGATATAGTAGGTAGAGGACCTGGGTTCAAAGCCGTGCCTTTAACATATACTAGCTGTGTGACCGTGGAAAGGTAATTCTCAGCGACTCAGGCAAGTCTCTAATATTCAGGTTAGAGACCAGTTGCCAATTGGTACTCCTTGAAAGAGATCCCAAATCAACAAGTTACCCCCTTTGTTGAATTCGTAGATCCAAGACAAAAAAAGGGAAAAAAAAAGGCAAGTTCACAAGCCCCTCTAGCGGGAAGTCCCATTCATTCATGTTTCGCTGGCTACTTACAGCATGAACATAATGACACCTATGCTCCAGATGTCACACTGTTGGCTATAGTCATGGGCATTGATCACTTCAGGTGCTGCCAAGCAAGCAGAAAACAATAATATTAATAATGCAAAAAATGACTGAAAAGCTTAAATAAAGAGAATGAAGGATGCGTGGATGGGGTGTCATTGATTTTCCTTTGAAAACAAGAACCAGCAGATGTTTTAAATGAATAATGCACAGGTCTTAAAAATCCATGTGGATGTGTCCTCACTTCTATCTCTCAGGTCCTAATGAGACGATGACATAAACTGAGGAATTAAATGGGATTTGGTTTTCTCTTTGTAACTGGTTAAAAGTAATTTATCAAACCCTGAGTACTTTTAGTCAACCAATTCAACTCTACATCTTTTTCTGCTCTCAAATCTCTCATTTCTATGTCCTATTTCTACTCATATCTTGTAAGCCCCAACCCTGGATTGTTCCTGCCCCCCCTGCTTCTACTCATACACTTCACAGCCAGAGGTAGTCACACAACCAAGCTAACTGGGACACTACAAATTTGTTATCTGATCTCATCGGGGCTTTTACTGCACCGTGACAGGACTTTTACTCCTTCCTAATTGATTCACAATCCTATTCCACACATTGGCTGTTCCAACCCTTCTCTCCTTTCCTCAAGCCTAATAAGCCACTTCTTCCACATCTTTCAGGTGACCTTGACTCATTGTACTGGGAAAACAGAGGCCACTCACTGTGAGCACTGGCTTCTTCCCACCTCAGTTCACAAGCCCTTGACATCATCCCCACTATCTTTATTCCAGTTTTCCGTGTTGAGTTGGCCTTCCTCCTGAGCAACCCCTCTGAGTGTTCCCTTCTGTCTCCCCTAGCTGATTGACCCCATTGTCACTCCCCTTCTTTCTCTAATCTTCAGTCTCTCCCTACCTACTGCTTCCTTTACCTCTGGCATGTTTCTCCTTAACAAACTTCATGAGGCCCTACTATCCTCAAACTTTTTGTCTTCTAGTCCTCCACCCTTGTTTCTATTTCTCCTCTCACTTATTTCTCATTCCTTGGCAATCTGAACTCAACATTCAGCTGAAAGCACTCCTTCCAAAGTTACCAAGGCCATCTTAATTGCCAAATCTGTTGGCAACCCTTATTCACCTCTCTAGAACATCTGTTAGCACTGCTCATTCTCTCCTCCTGCATATCATTTCTATTTCTGTTGGTTCTGCTTCTACTGTATGACCATTCTTTCTCAGATTCCTTTGCTGGTTTGTCATCCTCATCATAGCCACCCCAACTGGAGGTATTCCCCGAGACTGTGTCCTGAGGTCCTTTCTCCTCTCTCTCTCTCTCTCCACTTTCACTGAGCGACCTCATCAGCTCTGATGGATTTAATTGCCACTTCTACATGGAAGATTGCCAGATCTGTACCTTGAGCCTTCATCTCTCTTTGAACTTTAGTCTTCAACCACCAATTGCCTATTAGACATTTCTAATTGGAGACCTCACAGGCACCTCACACTCAAGAGGTCCCGAACAGAACTTATCTTTCCTTCAAAACCTACCCTTCTGAACTTCATTCACTATTTCTGTCAAGGGCATCATTATACATCCTCTCTCTCAAGTTCACAACTGGGGTCTTCATTGGGTCCTCACATTTGTTCATCTCAATATATAATTTATAGCCAAATTTTATCCTTTCTCTATCCACAACATCTCTCACATATGTCCCATTCTTTCCATCCATATAGCCACTCCTCTAGCTCAGGTTCTAATCACTTTTCATCTGTACTTCTGAAAGGGTTTCCCAATTGGCCTTGCAGAATCATGTTCCCACTCCAATCCATTTCCCAGACTGATTCTTAAAGTTCAGGCCTGACTATGTTTAGACCCCGTCCCTCTCCCCTCTTAATAAATTTCAGTGGCTCCCTATCATCTTAGGTTCAAACATAAACTGATGCTTTAAGCCCTTCACAACCTAGCCTGAACCACTTTCGTTTTATTAGGCATCACTCCCTTTCACAGACCCTGTGGTCCAGTCTAACTGGCCTCCTTAGTCTTCCTCATACATGGCTTTCCATCTCCCATCTCCATGTCTTTGTATTGTCTGCCCTCCCTCCACCCCCTCCCACATATCTGGAATTAACTCTATCCTTACCTCTGCTTCCTAGAATTCCTAGTCCCCCTTAAGACATCTTATAAATGAAGCCTTTTCTGATTCCTGTCATTGTTAGCACCTTCTCTCCTAAATCAGCTTGTATTTATTGTATACCTCCCTACATACATATATGGTGTTTCCCTCTACAGAAGAAAATATACATATATATGTGTATACACATACATACATACTGACTTTGCAAATATTCAGACAATTATTTATCAAAGGAATGTTTATGTTTGTTCATCACTTTTTATTTTTTACACTACTTTTACATTGTTATTTGGTTCTTGCAACATCTCCGTGAAGTAGACAGGGCAAGTAGTAATGTCCCCATTTCACAGAGGAGAAAAGTGTAACATGAAGAGCTCCAGTGACATATCTAGTCACACAGCTCAAAACCTAGGATGCTAAACCTAGGAGAGAAATTGTAGAGATTTCTAGGAGTTGAAACAGATTATTTCCAAGGTCTCCTTTAACTAGAGAGTTCTGTGAGAAAACAGAAACCCAGAAGGGTCAAAGGGCTTGCCTAGGTTCACAAAACTGTTTAGTATGACAGCTGGGACTGAGTCAATGACAAAGCAGACTCCAAAAACTTGCTAGGACCTCCTTGCTTTAAAAACAAGAGGCTCTCTATTCCCTTGAAAGCAAAGGCTGTTTTCACTTTTGTCTTGGATCCAGTGCTTAGGATGGTACCCGGCACATTGCAGGTGCTTAATGAATGTCTGTTGATTAATTGTCTACACAAATGCAAGACCGCAAAGTCATGTTCTTCATAAAAAAAAATGACATAATTAAATGCCACCATTTGTTATTAAAAGAACCAGAGGAAGCCTCTACCACATTGGATGGATCTCCTAGGGAGGAGTTATAGCAAAGATAGAAACAAACATTGCATGGGATGAGAAGGCATGGATGGGATGTGATCTGTAATGGTGGATGAGCTTCTCCAAGTATGGAAGTATTACAGAGATTCTCCACTAAAGCTTTACTCTAACGCAGGGGTGGGGAACCTGTGGCCTTGAGGCCACATGTGGACCTCTAGGTCCTCAAGTGCAGCCCTTTGACTGAATCCAAACTTCACAGAACAAATCCCCTTAATAAAAGGATTTTTTCTGTAAAACTTGGACTCAGCCAAAGGGCCACACCCAAGGACCTAGAAGGCCACATGTGACCTTGAGGCTGCAGGTTACTGGCTCTTGCTCTAATGTCTCCCTGTGCCTTACTATAGGCTTTTGCATTCAATTTGATTCACTTAAGAACATTCATTAAATGCTTATTCCATGTAAGACAGAAATGAAGACTTCCTGCTTTCAGGGAGCTGACTCTTGTACTGGAGGATATAAACAGGTAAACAATAAGGCAATGTCAGAGGACACGAGGAGAAAAAGAGTGGGGAATCAGCAAGAGCTTCCTGGAGAGGCGGGTGGCACACGAGACAAACCTTGAAAGAAGCCAAGGACGTCAGTAGCAGCTGTCCCTAAAGCAGCTCTGGCTGGAAAGTCTCCAGAAAAGGGCTCTCAATTTATTGTCTGAGGACCTGCCTCACTAAGATGCTCTTTACCTAAAGACTGGCACTGGATAGTAAACTTTTTTCAGCCATCTCAACTCTCAGAGATGGTCTGGAGTAGGGATAGGCTGTGACTGACCTAAGTGGAGGGTGGACCGACACTCATAAAGCTCGAAGTATTATCCAGGTGTGCTTTGCTTCAAATAAACTTAATATGCAAAAATTGACTTTACAAATTCAGACAATTACCAAAGGTCTGTTCTTTACTTTTAATTTTTTATACTACTTTTACACTGTTATCTCATTTGATCCTTGAAGTAGGCAGGGCAAATATTAATGTCCCCATTTTAGAGATGAGAAAACTGTAGCAAAGAATTCCAGTGACACATATGGTCACCCGGCTTGGAATCACAGGGTAACTGGAACCAGAAGAGAACTTTAGAGATCTCTATGAGCTTGGAAAAAGATTATCTCCAAGGTCTCCTTCAGCTAGAAAATGCTATGATTCTACATATAAGACACTTACTAGCTATGTGACCCTGGGCAAGTCACCACGTGTGCCTCAAGGAAACGTCTGTTAAATGAGCTGGAGAAGGAAATGGCGAACCTCTTTAGTATCTTTGCCAAGAAATCTCCAAATGGGCTCACAAAGGGTTAGTCTCAACTGAAATGGCTGAACAAGAACAATAAAACATAGGAGAGGGGTCAAATGATTTGTATGAGGTCATACTACTGTTTAATATTAGACCTAAGACTGGAACCCAGGCTGAGTCAATGACAAAGTAGGCTGCAAAACCCACAGGGTTGCTTTAAGCTTGACTCAGGGCTTGTTGATTTATCAACAAAAGGCTCCACAAGCAAATCTCTTTAAAATTAATAAATTTAAAAATAATAATAAAATAATAAAACTAATAAAATTAATAAATAAATCTCCCTTACCAAAATGTGATCTGCCTAAACAAGATTGATACACGACTTTTTTTTTTTTTGGCAATTGTGATTAAGTCACTTACCCAGAGTCACACAGCTAGTAAGTGTCAAGAGTTTGATCTGAAGCCGGATTTGAACTCAGGTCCTCCTAACATCAGGACCTGTGCTCTATCCACTGCACCACCTAGCTGCCCCGATACACAATTTTTATTTGTTTTGGGGTTTTGGGGGGTTGTTTTATTTTTTTTTTTAGGCAATTGGAGCTAAGTGACTTGCCCAGGGTCACACAGCTAGTAAGTATCAAGTGTTTAGTCTGAGGCCATATTTGAACTCAGGTCCTCCTGACTTCAGGGCCGGTGCTCTATCCACTGCGCCACCTAGCTGCCCTGATACACAATTTTTAAAGAACATTTCTGCTGCATAAAGTGAGGCACACCTGTAAAGCCAACTTTGAATTATCTTTGCTAAAGTGAAAGTGGCTTCATAAACAAAAGTCACACAATACAAAAAGCACATTTTAGACAACTGTTTCAGGCCCCAAGTCTACATGCACATGTATGCCTTTTATGGAAAAATTAACAAGAATAAAAATGGATTAGCAGTAATAATAACTCATACTTGGTGGTGCTTTAAAGTACTGTTGAGTCATTTTAGTCGTAGCAGACTCTTCAAGACCCCATTTGTGATTTTCCTGGCAAAGATACTGGAGGGGTTTGCCATTTCTGTCTCCAGCGCATTTTACAGAGGAGGAAACTGAGGCAAACAGGGTGAAGTGACTTGCCCAAGGTCACATAGCTAATAAGCGTCTGAGGCTGAAATTGAACTCAGGTCTTCCTGACTCCAGACCTGGCACTCCCTCCACTGCACCACTGACGTATACAAAGCATAAATACGATTTGCTCATTTGACTCTTGCAACAACTAAATGAGGTAGGTAGTTCACCGAGACTCAACAGAAGGGAAGTGCCTTGCCAAAGGACACATAAAGACAACAAGAATTAGACAAAGATTCAAGGTTTACAGAGTGTTTTAACACATGTCATTTCATCTGATCCTCACAACAAACCTGCAATATTGCTATTACAAGTGTTATTATCCCCATTTTACAGATCATGGTCACACAGCTAGTTAAGAGTCAGAGCTGATATTAGAAACCAGGTTTCTCTTGACTCTATTCCAACATCCTTTTCCTAAATACTATACTGCTTCTCTGGGTTGCATTCTATTTCTTCTTCTTTACTCTTCTTTTGGTGACAGAACAATGAAAAAGCCAAAAGTAGAAGGGAAAAAGAAGGAGGAGGACAAGGAAGAAAGAATGAGGGTAATGACAAAAAGCATAACCAATTTCCAAATATTTGAGCACTGATAAATGGCTACCTTTAAGAGTGAAAAAGGTTGGTTAAAATTATTATATTTTTAAAAATTCTCTTGATCATCTTTCCATTTTGAAAGATTAAATATTTATGTTTATATATGTCTCCATCTGCCCAACTATGGCAAGTTCTGGTATGTTCACTCAAATTAATGCTCTTTATATTCACACAGCAAGGACCAAGTTGTTCTGGTCCTGTCACTCACAGGGATAGCCTGGTGACCTTAGATAAGTCACTTTAGCCCTCAAGGACTCACATGCCTAATTTGTAGAATGGGGATAATAATGGATCTACTGAGATCCATATCTGAGATATATGAAAAACACTTAGTAAGGTGAAATGAGAATAACAGAGGCTCGGGGTTCGAAGGGACCTGAAAGGTTACCTGGACTAATCACCTGCCCTGTCATTATTGACCCTACCATGGGAATTATGTTGAGCACAACATAAGCATGTTCAGGAAATAAGCAAAGTGGAGCCAACATAAGCCACTGATTTTGTCTTTCTAGCTTCCCTCTCCCTTCCAAGGGTACCACCTTCCTTCTGGTCCCCGAGGTTTGTAACCTTGGAGTCATTCCTACTCTCTTCTCACCTGTTGGAGACAATCAGCTGTCAAAGCTTATCCATTCTATTCTAACTGCACAACCTCCATTCAAATCTATTCCCTTTTTACCGCCATTGTTCTGGCCAGCAATATGTCTCATATGGACTGTTGCGATAGCCTGAGACCTGGTCTCTACTTCTCTGTCCTGACTGTATCTCTCCTTTCTGCTCAATACAAGGGCTTTCCTGATCCCCACAGCTGCTGGTGCCTTCCTCTCAATATTAGTCTGAATCTACTTACTTCGCATATATTTGTATGTTACCTGTTGTACATGTTTTACCTCCCTACAGAATATAAGCTTCTTGAGAGCAGGAACTGTTCCATTGTTTTGGCTTTATAGTGTTTAGCACAGTGCCTAGGACTTCACAAGGGCTTGTGGGGATTAGTTTATTCTTGCTTAGTTCCGTGATGTCTGCTACACAGCCAGGTAATGTGAAACATGGCACATCCAGGTAGCCCAACATGTTTGCATAGAGTTCTATGGCTAGACCACAGACCAACTATCTCTTTTCAGTTCGAAAAGACTGGTAGGAAGCAGTATGGATAAGTGGAAAGTGTAATGGATTCAGAGTGAGAAAACTTGGGCTCAGAATGGCCCTGGGACTCCATCGACCTATGCCTTAGCCTTGAGGTCAAGCCAGAGTCTGCTCATCTGCCTGCCCTGCCACCCTTCCCCTTCCACACTGCCCATTCGTCCAGGTCCAAAGGCCCTCCTGAGGCGCCTGCTGTGGGCTACTTCCTAGGGGAAATCATTTACTCAGCACTGGGCTGAGCCTTGAGGCAGAACTGGTGATCAGAAGAGTCACCCTCTGATAACTAGAACCCCAACCTCTGCCATGACCACTAGGCTGGTTTAGCACATATCTGCTGATAATCAAATCAACAGATATATTGTTTCAGGGCAAAAAAAAAAATCAAAGCAAAAAACTATTTCTATAGTTCAACTTATAATTCTGAGTTCTAGGCTGCCTAGGCTGAAGCTTCCTCCCCTGACTCACACTACTCTCAGCTCCCTTCTACTCATTCAGATTAGCTCCATCCCTCTAATGTCTCTATCTCTCTCCTACATTGTGCCCTCCAAACCCCTATCCTATTGCTAACAAACTGCTCTTCATATTAGACCTTACTCCTGTCCTCTAGAAATCACTTTGAATGAATTTTGTATTTATTTATAGGTGCACGTGTTGTTTTCCCTCCAAAGAAGTGTAAGGTTATTGAGGGCAGGCACTCTTTTATTTTGTCTTTGTGTCCCCAGGACCTGGCACAGAGCAGATGCTCAGTAACTACATCTGGCATTGAACAGAATTTCCAGTCCTGACGCTCCCAATGCCTCAAGCAAGTCCTCCCCTGTTTTGAGCTTCAGTTTTCTTCCCCCTTGAATGAATTTGATTGAATATGATCTCTAATAAGGTCATTTCTAAGTTGAAAAATCTAAGTAATGAGTGTTCCTTATTACTCTTCAATGGTGAAGGGAAAACCACATTATATTAGTAAAGCTTTATAGTTTATTTCCAATCAGTTTTTTTTTATGATTTAGAACCTTGAAATGTTGAACTTACCCATATAAATAGGAGTCCCACAAGTCGTCTGAAACATGGCTTCACATCCACCCTCTTTTTGCACCGCTAAACCAAAATCAGTCACCTAGGAGAAGAAACTCAAGAGTATCAGGGTGCAGCATTGCCAGGCAGCTCTCTATTTCCAACCGGAAAAATCCAGTGACAGAAATTCAGAGCTCAGGTAACAGAGGAGTTGGGGTGACTTTGGAAGGCCTTCCTTCATCACTAAGTTAATTAGGAGCACTGACCACACTTTGTTTTTAATTCAGTTAAACAAACATTTGTTAAGCACCTAATAAATGCACTTTGCTTAATTCAGAGATAAAACCAGAACCTTTGCCTTCACAAAAAAAAGCTTATGATCTAGTAGGGGAAATAAAAAACTATTTACAGGTTTACCCTGCCTATCATTAACCTCTTTCATGAACACATGACTTTAAGTGATTAAGCAGCTCTTATGGGGACATTTAGAGCTATACCAACAGTATTATGAATGGGATATGTTTGCATGTGTGTATATATGTGTATATATACATGCATATGTATATATACATCCTACTCCAGGATGAGAGCTCCCAGAGCTTCCCTGATCTTCCCCAGTTAGGACCCTTAGCTATCAGTACATCCAGATATCTGCCAACTTTCCACGCCTGTATGTGTGTGTGTGTATGTGTGTGTGTATGTATGTATGTATGTATGTATGTATGTATGTATGTGTGCATGCATACATATGTAGAGACCAAAGGTTAAAAACCACACACATACATATATGTATGTGTGTATACATGTATATATAATATATATACATGTGTATATAAATATAAATATACACACACATATATACATACATACATACATACCTATAGCTATAAGCTATATAACTATAGCTATATATATATTTCATAAATATATATGTATATATATATATATATGTATATATATTTAGGGACTATTATATATATAAAACAGTCCCTAAAGTCAAAAAACTTACATTCTACCAGGGGAAGCAATACACCCATATATTATTATATACAAAACATAAAATATTTACAAGATAAATAAAAGGTAATTGTGTAGGTAAAGGATAATGGGAGGAAGGGGGAAGATCAGAAATGGCTTCATTTAGAAGGTATTATTTGAGCTGAGTTTTGACATAAATGAGACAGTCCTAAGAGACAGGAGCGAAGAGGGAGTAGGTTCCAGGAATGGCGGTGAAAAGAGACAGGAGCAGGAAGAAGACTAGTCTGGTTGGACCCAAGAGTGAGGAAAGGAGAATGATGATCAACAAGACAGGAAAAGATATGTTGGGGCAGGTAGTGAAGGGGTTTAAAAACCAAACAGAAGAGTTTATGCGGATTCTGGAGGTAACAAGGGAGCCACTGTAGTTTACTGAGAAGGGAAGTGGCACAATCAGACCTGCACTTTAGGAAAATCACTTTGGCATCTGCATAAAGGATGAATGATAGAGCAGGGAGAGACTTGAGGTAAGATGACCATTAGGAGGTTTTTGTAATAGTCTAGGTGAGAGTTATAAAGGTTTCAACTAGGATGGTGATCATGTGAGTAGTGGGAAGAGGACAGGTTTGAGAAATGACACAATATGTCAACTTACTGGATATAAGGGAGAAGAGTTGAAAAGAATGGTGAGGATGTAAATCTAGGTGACTGAAGGATAAAAATGAAAGAGAGGTTGGTTTTGATAGAAACATGATGCTTTTGGTCAACTCGAAGTTGAGATGCCTCTGGTTTGAAATGCCCAAAAGGCAATGGGAAATGCAGGATTAAAGTTCAAGAGACCTGGGAACTATCTGTATAGAGATGAAAATTGAACACATGTGGATTGATGAAGTCAGCCAGGGAAGCAATATAAAGTGAAGAGACTGGGACTAAGGACTAAGCCTTGGAGTATACCTACAGTTAGAAGTATGATACAGATGATGAGCCAGCAAAGGAGACTGAAGAGGGAAGGAGAGAGAGGAAGAGATGAAAAAGGAGAGTGGGAGAGGAAAAGAATTGGAGATGAGAGAAATATCATGAAAACCTAGAGGACAGACTATCTAAAAGGAGAGTGTGGTCCGCAGTGTCAGATGCTACAGAGTTCAGAAAGAATGAAGAGTTATAAAAGACCATCAGAGAAAGTAATGAGGAGAACACTGGTAACTTTGGAGAGAGCAGTTTCAATCGAAGGGTTGAGTGGTTTGAGTGAAGTAGTGGGAAGCCAGAATGCAGAGCACTGAGAAGCAAACAAAAGAGCATAAACAGAGATGAGTATAGACAGCTTTTGGAAATTTTTAAGCATGGGAGAAGCTTGACCCTATTTTGTAGGTATCAGGAAAAGAAAAGTAGGGAGAAGACTGAAGGTCAGAGAGGGACTCTAGTTGTGCAATATGCTGAAGAAGATAGGAGAGTGTGGGATCTAAGGTGCGTGTAGAGGGGTTGGCTTTAGCTGTAGAAGAGTCACATCTTTTGAGCCTACAGCAGGGTGAAATAGGAGATGATGCCACGGGGTTTTGAGATTTATCTAAGAAAAGCCAGTTCATGGTGAATGAACTTACAAGGTAGAAGGTGGTGACTGGGAGAGGCAGGCAGGTAGATTCTGAAGGAGAGGGGCCTGGAAGATCAAGATGGTCTTTGGTTATTGAGAGGATAGAGGAGAGGGACCAGACCTATGGTTTCATTGATAAAGGGAGCCCCAGGTGAAGAAACATCCTCTGCCAATGCAGGTCAGGATCTTTTCTGCAACTTGCAGTCTTAAAAATTTGTCCAAAGCAATGAGAGCTTAAATTACTTGCTCAGAGTTATATGTCTGGTCTTTCTGGCTCTGAAGTTAGCTTTCTAAGATACACTACATTAAGGCTGCCTCTCACTTGTTGAATGAACTAAAAGAAATGTTATAATGGGATTTTGTAATATTAAGGAACATGTTAATAATGTATTAATAGCATTATTAAAATGTCACTAGTTATGACAACTTTACATGGAGTATTCCTGCATACAAATAACCATAAGCTAGCAAGTGGTAAATACAAAGGAGAGGGCTAAACAAAGTTTTGAAAGATATTTTAAGAGGGAGAGACCAACCAGGGGAAGGTTTCACAGAGTTGGCAGCACCTAAGTTGGATTCTTGAAGGAAGAGATTTACTTTTTAAAATTAAACTTTTTTCAATGAACAAAAATTGATTTTTCTCTCCCACCCATCTTCCCTTTGGAAAAAGAAAAAAGAAATTCAGAACTCTAGTAATAAATATATTTAGTCAAGCAAAAACAATCCTTCATAGGCCATGTCCAAAAATGTTGTATTCTGTACCCTTAGACCATTATGTCTCTGTCAGGAGGTGGGTAGCATGCTTCATTATTAGTACTTTGGAATCAAGGCTGGTCATTGCACTGATCAGAATTCTTAAAGTTTTCAAAGTTGTTTGTTTTTATAATATTGCTGCTATTGTACTAAATACATCATTTTCCTTGTTTTCCTCCTTCACTCTGCATCAATTTTTTCATCAAAAGTTTTCCCAGATTTTACTGAAGCCATCCTTTTCATCATTTCTTCCTGCACAATAGTATTCCATTACATTGACATACTATAATTTGTTCAGTCATTTTCCAGTTGCTGAGCACCATGAGAGATTTCAATAGATGGAAATGGAAAGATATCCATTCTAAGTATGAAGAATAGTTTGAAAAAAAGGAGATGGGAAATGGTTATAAAAGAATGGGAAATAGTAGTCCACTTTGGTTGGAGCATGGAAAATGTATAGGAGAGGAGTATTTGATAAGACTGGAGAGGTAGTTTGGAAACAAGATTGTTAAAGGCACTGAATGGCGGGTTAAGAAGTCTGCACCTTATTTAGTAAGCAATGATATAACCAGTGAAAGTCCTTGAACAAGAATCACTCATGCTCAGACCTATGTAGTAGGAAGGTTATTTTGGTAGCTGGGTTTAGAATGGATTGAAGATGGGAGAGACTGGAGTTAGGGAAACCAGCTATGAAATTATAATAGTTTAAATGGGAGCTAATAAGTGCTTAAGGGTTCACCTTCAGGTCTGCTCCTCTTCTGTGTGAAAAGGGAAGAATTCTGCAGGAAATTGGATGGACATTTATGTTAAAAACCCTAAAAAGTAGAGATATAGATGGGTATTTCTTTAATATAATTAAGTAAAAGCGTATATTTAAAACAGATATTAATTATTGTTTCCAGTGTAGGAACACTAGAAGCTTTCCTAGTACAAACAAGGATAAAGCAAAGGTATACCTTGTCTCCATGATCATTTTATAGTTTTAGAAATACTACCAAAGAGACATCAAGTGGCTGCTACAAATTTCCTTTTCTCTACTCTAGACTCCCATAGCACCCACTCCTCCCACCTTATTGGATGAAGCCCTTGACATACATTGCTGAGAAAAATCATGGTCATTCAGTCTATTCCTTCTTTTCCCCTTATATTCATTTCACAGCTCCTTGACCTTATCTCTATAGCCTCTTTTACTTCTGGAAAGAGCTATTTCCACTTGTATTCCACTACTTCTCTTCTAAAAATATAATCAGGCTTCTGACTTTATCACTTCACTGAAACTTCTTTCTCCAATATTACCAATGTTCTTATAATAACCAAATCAAAGATTTCCTTCTCAACATTTATCCTTTTTGACCTTTCTGCACCATTTGGCATTACCGACAATCCTGTCTTCCTACATACTCTCTCCTCTCTAGATTTCTGTGACACTATTCTCATTTTATTCTCTTCCTGCCTGTATGACTGCCACTTTTCAATCTCCTTTGTAGGATCAGTATCAATATTCCACATACTAACTATGAGTATAGCCTAAGACTTTATCCTTGTTACCCTTCTCATCTCTTTCTATATTCATCAACAATGGATTCAATTATCATCTCCATGCCAATTATCCCCAAAGCTATATCCAGTAGCAATCTCTCTCCTAACCTTCAGTGTTATATCATCAGTTTCCTACTGATCTTTCCAAACTGGGTATCTGAAAGACATCTCAATATATCTAAAACTAAACTCATTATCTTTCCTCCAATATCCCTTTCTCCAACTTCTGTGTAAAGACACCATCCTTA